GCTGCTTGTAAACATGGAAGTGTTCTGCTGCCCACTGGGTGGTGTCTCCCTCTCACTCTTTCACGCTGTCTCTTTCACACACACACAGGGGAATCTGTAAAAATTCCTATCATCTGTTTGGCATTCCTGCCTTCCACGTTGGATGCCGTAATGAAAAAAAAAAAGTGGAGCTAAATTTGAACTGGTCAGATGCTCTGCGGCCCACCAACAGACCCTCTGTTGGTTGGTGTGTGTGTGTGTGTGTGTGTGTGTGTGTGTAAGAGAGTCTACACTGGTGAGTGTAAATTGTGTGCGCATCTGCTCTGTGTGCATGTGTTTTCTACCACTGTTTCATGGTCAGAGTGGAAAAAAAGCGAATACCTCCATGTTTTTCAGCCGAATGTGGTCTCGGCCCAAACCCTAAACCACAGCCTTGAGCTCACAGACTGCAGCAGGCCTCCATGACATAAAAAGCACAGTTTTCTGCAAAAACGGAGACAGAAGCAGAGGGAGCAGGAGACGTTTTCTGAGGGTGGCTTCCATACAAGGACATAAGGTCTTTGTGGGTGGCTAGGTCACAGCCTGATGAGTAGATCTTCTAAAAGTGTTTGATTACACTCATAAAGAAATGTACATATATTTAGGTAGCGGGAATTTGAGAATACCTGGGAAGTTGGGTTGGAATTAAGGGTGCCAGAGCAAATTTCCAGTACTTTTTCTCTGCTCACATTTTTGAGAGACAATTTTCAAAAAAACAGAACGTGAAGGAGAGACAGAGGGGACTAGTCTCTGTTGGAGGTCTTGTTTAGCTGTAGCTGCAGCTGATTGGGGGAAGCCAAGGCTGGCTAGCTGGGGAGTAGCATAAATATACTGCTGTAAACATCTCCTGGCCTTGTAATGCACTGAATAAACAGCACGCCTAATTCAGCTCTGCTCAGAGACCTCTCTCACACACATACTTACGTAGAATGTGCATGCATGCAGGCAGGCCACAAGTCAGTGCGCACGCACGCACACACATGGGTGTACACACGTGGAGAAACGCACATACGTACATGCGTGTAAGCGCTTACTGTCTCATTCTTACACACACACACACACATACGACTCTGCAGGCCTGACAACGAATGGAAAAGATTACAGTTTATATAAACAACAGAATTCCTAACAGTGAGACGCTGTTGGAGGTCCCACCAACGTCACACTCTCTTTCTTTCTGTCTCTTTTTCCGCCACGTAAAAATTGTCATTTTGGGGTAAAAGCAAGTGAGCTCAAATGTGGACGCCATTCTAAAATAGTAATAATAATATTGATAAACTATTTATCATTTCGCCATCTGCAGGTGAATGTGCGTTAATTCGATTAAGCATGCTCGTTAAATATGTGCGTCCCCGCAGGGTTTTGGCAAAGCAGCTTATGAATATCCTTCTGATAACAGAGGAAAATAAGGACAGCTGCTAGAGAGGAAAAGAGAAAACATGTCAGACAAAAGAGTGACCTTTGTCAAGTGAGGTAGTAGTAATAATCACTGTAGTAGTCCATTGAGAGGGAATGTTTCCATAACACTCTGCAGCTATTATCCTTGTCCTTGTTGGCTTTTTTCCCTCATACCAACTGTCATTTTTTTCCCTCCCTCCCTCTTTTTTTTTTTCTTGTTTTACCTCTTTAAGTCTGGCTGGTGGTTAGCATCTCACTGTCTCCCTGCTTTCTGTTAGTGTTTAAGTGGAGTCCTCTCTAATTTTCTTGGGGAGCTCTTTCTTGTGGCCTGCCTCCACCCCTGGCCTCCTCAGAGCTGTACAGAGATGGAAACACACACACATACATACACACACACACATACACACACACACGCACGCACGCACAGTGTGAGCAGAAAGAAAAAAAGAAAACGAGCGAGAGAATATCTTGTAGCAGCAGCAGTGGAGGCATCAAAGCATGTTTTAGTTGGACTAAGCAGGGAATCAGATTTGCCCCCACCCCACCACCCAACCCCCTCGCCTTTGATACACAAACACTGGGCTTTCCCTGTATTCTTCCCCAGAGCTACTTCCCTTCCTCATGTGCCAACTATGTGTGTGTTTGGAGTGTTTGGAGCTGCACACACACGTGTGTTTTTGTCCATTTAAAGAAAAAAAACATGTTGCATAACAAAAATAGAAAAATGGATAAAGCAAAAAAAACAAAAACAAACATTTGTCAAATGTTAAATGTCTTGTACTTTGTGTGAAAGTGTCGCGAGCTTGGCTGACAGTTTTAACGCATCTGTATTTTAGCCAAATCCCTATAAAACTTAGCATGCAAAAGAAAATAGGATTAAATGGATTGCAGCTCTGTCACTGCACGTTCCAGTTGATTGAAAAAATTGCCAATAGGCTAAAGAGAGATGACAGACCTGCTCTGTCCTTTGGCATTTGTCTGATTTCAGGATGGTTAAATGCATTAACAGCGATCAGTCACTACTGTGTGTTACCGTCTGCTTTTATTCTGACACTGATTCTTTGTCGTGTCTGTTTTCAGTTCACGCCCAAGCTAACATCTCATGTCTCTCCATCCTTCAGGTATTTCTTCGCTGTGCTAGCCATCCTGACTGTTTTGGGGATGCTTAATGGCTTGGTTCTCCTCCCAGTCCTCCTCTCTATGATGGGTCCTCCGGCTGAGGTCACCCCGGTTGACAATGCCAGCTGCCTGCCGTCACCTTCTCCAGAGCCTCCGCTGCCTCCACCAATGACCCATCATGGGTACTACACAGGCCACCCCAACCAACGCTCTCGTCAACAGGCGTTTTCTGAGTCATCAGACTCTGAGTATTACTCTGAGTTGACCACTACATCAGGGATTGGGGAGGAGGATTATAAGTACTGTGAACGGAGTGCATACTTAGCATCGCACACCAACGTTCCACCAGCAACATCTCATATACTGCTGGAAGCGAGCAAAGACCCGAGCTTCCCTAAACTTACGGTACGCTGCATGACCACGCACACAAAATAAGCTGCCCTATTTTTCATCAAATCTTCTGAAAGTTAACTGTAAACATTTCTTTGTTTTAGGTGGTGAAGCCATTTAGAGAAAATGCAACAGCTCCTGGTGGGAGGATTGAACCATTAAGTGAATCTTCCTACATTGCACAGTCTCCTCTTGGATCCCAGGTTACATGCTGGGATGAAAACAAGCGGGAGCAGCAGAGGGGCTCCCAGAGACTCCAGGCTCAGCCTGGCCAACACTTACCCGGCGACAGAGCCCACTTTCCTGGGAGGACTTTTCAGAGCGGCCCCAGGTTCCAGAACGTTAGAGGGCCTCAGCCAAACAGGACTAAAGGGCTGAGCTATAGCCATAGCAACTCTACCCTGCCAACACAACAAGGCTCCGCTGGGGGACCTGTTACTATGGTTACAGCCACGGCCTCTGTGACAGTGGCTGTCCACCCGACCTTGCCAGGAGCAGCATACCAAGGGTACATGCATGAAGGTTTTGACACGGACAGCGAGTCGGACTGTTTTGAGGCTGCTAAGAGGACATGTGGTGACAAAACAAACTTTTCTTCATGTAAAAGAGACTCTCTAGAGCTCCAGGACTTGGAAGCAACACAGGGCCAGATAGAATATCAGCTTGACAAGACACAAGGTGAGCAAAGTTTTCAGGCTTCTTTGTCACTGACAGTAACATGTGACCGTGACTTAATGTCCCCCGTGCCTAAAGTCTGATCGCTCTCTGTCTTCTGTCTGCTGCAGGTGAGCTGAGGATCCAGGCACCCAAAGACTGCTAGACCCTCTCACACGCCTCGCCCTCTCTCTTCGAGTCTCTGGGTTACTCCCCAGAGCGTCCACATGGCATCACGTCACGCATTGACAGCTGTACATAGACTCTAAAGAATAAATGAGAGGTTTTACTTCAAGGACGTGTTAAGACGAAAAAAATATTTCTTTTAAGAATTATATAAATTTATGAGTATATATTTTAATACTAAACAAGAGGGAAGCTATTTAAAAGAGTACTGTATAACTTGGGTATTCTCTTGTGTAAAAGTTCAGATGTAAAAGATTATCTTCAAGTGGGGTGGTTGATTTTTTTGTTTCTTTTTTGTGTTTTGTTTTGTTTTTTTGGGTTGCCCCCCTGCACTGTATAGAATAAGAAATGTGCTATATGTTTTCACAAAGCTGAGATGTTATTAAGATTATAGGCTATTGAACATACATGGTCAGTGTTTTATTTCTATTTGTATTATGTTCCTTTTTTTGCTGCTACACTTCAAAATAATTTTAAGCAATTTGCCTTAAAAGAAAAATGCAGTACCCCTCCCTCCCCCTTCTCCTGTTAGCATCTATCACAGTGTTGCGCTGTGAGGTATTCTGCATCTGACAGACTCTCTGCCGTAGTGTGCACTGTAAAAACTTACACAGCAGATGGTGTTTTCTTAACAGTAGTAACCGCCGTGCCTTCACTACATCACCCTTCCCCTGTTATCACAGCATTCAGAGCTCAGTATTATGTTGTAATTGTATAAATATGTCTTTATCGCTTTCTCTTGTCGAGACACAGAATGTGTACCACGATTGGCAGTGATTGGCTGACGCTTGTCACCATCTATCTGAAAATGGTCGAATCTGATCAATCAGACATCATGACACGCTTAATTCATGTTGCCTGTGCCCCAACAGCCTCTGCAGTTTTAAATTACTTGAAGGAGCTTTGATGTCTTTTTTTTCCTGCAGTTTTTGTAAGCTCTACAGTGGGTGATGTTTACTTTTGTCACTTTAACAAAAGTGTCGTTCACCTTCTCGTATTAGTTTTGAAAGGGAATCTTAAAATTCACAAATGCAAAGGGAGTTATTTTAGTTTATTATTTTCTTCTCTTTCTTTTCTTTGCTGGCTGCTTTAGGGTTATTAGGGTCTCTTGTTATCGTGACCCTGTGCAATTATTACACGATGTAAACCGGTTTCAATCTAGTTAGCGCTTCGACACGCTCTGACTCACTTTTTTTTCCCTAATGACTCACTCTGTCTGTTAATGCAAACCTCATATATGTGTCATGTTACATTTCTTTCATTTCATTTGCTTTACAGAGTTTCAGTTGTTATTATTCTTGTTCAGTATTGGTCTAATCACTGCCAGGTTAAATAATTGCAGGGAGAAACTTGCAGATCTATTTGTGTGTGTGTCTATGTGTGTGTGTGTGTCATTTTCCAAGTGGCAGCTTTGGTTTTTTTGTTTTGTTTTTTTATTTTGGAAATATGAAAAAACAGTCAAGTAGCTACTGCAGCTGAACAAAAACACCTTTCACAGTTTGATCACACCATAGACAGCCAGGAGGTGTTGTCAGTATCTGTGTGTGTGCGTGTGTGTGTGTGAATGTGCGGGTGCGTGTGTGCGAGCTTGTGGGAAGGGGGTGGGCGAGGGAGTCCTGCATTGATTTGTAGTTTATTTCAGAAAAAAATGTTAATGTCATGCCATATAAATTATTTATATTAAATTTTTATTTTTGTAGTTTGTACAGTTGTTAGTATCTAGACTGAAGTTCTATTTTTAAAGAGTAAATATATATTATATATAAATATATCTATTTGTGGCTGAGTTTGCTTTTATTTTATTGTTCTGTTGACTTGGGGGGGGG